TGCTTAGTATGAGGTAGAACAATTAGTTAACAATCAGATTTTGCTAACATATCTGGTAACAGTTGTTGACACTAAATACCAGGCAGCAGGGTATTTCCAAGTTGGGCAGAATCAATAGCTGTTTATATGCATGTATATTGAGGTAAATATTCATATACATATTTTGTGCAAACAATTTTTCTGTAATGCCAAAGCAATAAATATTGTTTCACGCTGAGAATTTATGCCATCATAAAACTAGTCTGCATCAGCTGAGTATGGGTGGGGGTATTTAATTAAACGCATTAATTGCCAGCAGTTGGACGGATACGGATACCGCAACAATTATGCGGTTTCCCTCGTGACTCATTTCCGTTGATGGCGCTAACAACTGGCCCACGAAGTGGCAATGTATAAGTTGTAAGGACTCTATTTGAACTTAAAGCTCAGCCAGGAACCATCTGAAAGGCCTTAAATGAAATGGGATGAGAAAATCAGAATTACTTAATTTGAAAAATAGGTTTTGAAAAAACAATCCGAATCTAGAGCTGACTTTGGAAGACTTCAGCGTCTGCAAAAACATTCAACACATAGTAAAAGGAACTTGTGCTTTTTGTAGGGCAGCTGCTCGTGAGTCTTTCTGCCATTGTTTTGGCAGTGCCACAAAATTGTTTCCTTTCAACATTCTGACAGCAAATGACATTGACAGGAGATGCTCAAGTGAGGGAGGATATATTTTATGTAATTTTATGGGACGAAGTGAAAAGTTTACAAACTACAGAGCTCAGCGGGCTAGGGAACAAGAGTCGGCCATGAAAACAAAACAATACGAATAAAACTTGCGCCATAAAATGCGAGAATTATTGAGTTTCTCTGCAAATAGCAAAACTTTTGATTCTCTTTTAGAAAATCTCTTAATAATCCTTTCATCTAGAAAGTGTTTCAATTTCGGCAAAGAGCAATAAACTCCATTTGTGTGTGCTGTTTGTTTTGCCAACGGCGTTTGTTTATAGCTTCTTTAGTTTTTAATTATTTTCAATGCTGTTTTCTATATTGTTTTACGATATCTTCATAGAAACAACATGTTTCTGGCAAACGCAATTCCATTATTTTATTTATGATGTATACAACATTTAACCGGCTTAGTTGGTTAGAAAAGAATTGAAGCTTAACCCGAAATCAACTATATTCCGTTTAAAAACGTTTGGGTTTTAAAAAAAATGCAAACATATTCTAAGAAGTGTCCGATATTGAGCTTGAGAACTTTGAATATAAAATAATTATGGAAAATTAAAGAATTTTAATAAATAGATAAATATAAATGCAGACAAATTCTTATTGTTCTGGCTTGAGGCGGAAAACATTTTCTTTGATTTGAAGACCTGATGAAAACTTTAAAAAACGAGTAAATCGAAGTATATAATAAATCGCTGAAGTATATAAAAGTATCTTCGTCATGAGCAGCAGAAACTTTTGGTTGACAACAGCTGAAGAAGAATAGCAAAAATAATATATACAACGTGGATCACATGTCAGTTCTGCAAATAATTAATCTTTTCACATTTGACAAAACGTTCCCACTAATTTATAATGCTTGTATTTTTTCAGCAGCACGTTCTTTTTATTTAGTAAGCAGCGAAGCGTTCAAATCTCTGAACAAGCCCCAGCTGACTCTCGCCATGGGTCTAGTTTCTGCTCTGAACGTGGGCCGAACACGCGACAATTTATAGGCTCTTCTAATGATGTATAAAATCTTATTCCATTTAGCAGAATTTATGCCAAACACTAGCGGGTTTTTCCCGGCCTTGCCCGTGTCAAGTATTGTGCTTTAAATTTGAGATATAACTAATTCAGACAGTTCTCTTATTTAGAATTAGTTCACCCAACGGTTGATTTACATTTTACACTCAAGAGACTTTTGGAAGAAACATTTAATACATTTTCACAAAGATATTTAAAAATAAGTGTGAAGTGGATCCGATGGTAAGCAATAAAAGATGCTAATTTTAGGGTCAAATTCCACAATTGCGCGTGGAATTTTCAAAATCAAAATTATGTAGTTATTTAAAAATAGGTTTGACAGCGATTGGACAAAACTTAAAACTTTGTTTTGCAAATCTTGACCTTCATTTCTCACCAGGGAGGCTTGCATTTTACGAAAAGTGTGAAACAAAAAGTAAAAGTAAAATGAATTTCCTTGAAGAACTTTACAAATACTCGCAAGTTCATTATCCAATCTGTTTTGCGCATTTACCAACCCGTATCAGATAAATTTAAAGATATTTGAAAATGATTTTGAATCCGATCAGATGGTAAGTAAAAATCATTCTCAAATGAATTTTTATACAGTTTCGTCTTATATGTATTTGAACTGGAAACATCATCCACCAAATAGTTGACCCCTATTTCCACAAAGGAGGGATAGATTTTCCAAAAAGTGCGAGACATCCCTCTAATGAAACTTAACAAAGATCTTTAAAAATGTTTTTGAGGCCGATTTGATGAGATTTTTTGCTGTTAGTATGTATATTGAAAAGAAACATATTCAATGAAAACAAACATACTTGAATGTAAGAACATAAATAATTACAAATGGTTATTGCTTTTATTTAAAAAATAGTAATGTTTTTTTCAAAAGAGACAAATCTTAAACCTTGTAAATGGTAACCTTTCAAACTGTATGTACCCAAGCACTTTTTTACAACTCTAAAATTTATTATACCATTGAAGAATTGGCATAGTATGGAAGAGTCTTGAGTGTTCAAATCTCTGAGATTGAAGAATATGAATGACAATTCAGATGTCATATTGTTGCATAGTTTCCATAATTAAAGGTTAAACGAATTGGGCTCTAAGCTATTAAAAACTTGACCACTCGCTTCAATAAATTGTTCAAACATAATCAAATCTTTAACTGCGTAAACAACTGAATATAAGGATCAGGCGCCGGGATGGTTGCGAGCCGACCTCCTGGAAACTTGGACGGCACATAAAAGTAATTTCTAGCAAACAAATGGAGCGCCGGTCCGCTTGAGTGGCTGGGACAAGGTTATAAATGGGGTTGACTGATTTTTGTCTTCTCAAGCTGCGAGCGTAATTAAATTCCGTGCCAGGCGGCTGGCTCCAGGAGGGAGGGAGAGAGGACCCAAAATGGTGCCTCAAGTGAGCGTGTTGGTAATGAGTGGGCGGTGCCGGGTGGGTGGTGCTGGCCCCACCAAATTTATCAAGTAGTCAAATATTTGCTCTAATTAGTAAAATTGGACACGTTCCGTGGATGGGGCACCTGCGGGTGCCAGCTCCTCGTGCTGCATTGTTGACTGATTGCCCCAAAAATGGTTTGTCCTCTTCGATTTGGTGCCGTTCATTAAATGCTGCTGGTCAGGGTGGCTCCCTGCCCGAAAATTAGCTAAATGCCAATCGCGTGCCCCAAAGTGTACTTGAACTGTTTTGTTTGCCTTGGCATTGTTTTAAGCGATTAACGCTTAATACTCTGTTGATTGGTAATTGTCTTCGCATGCAGATTAAGTAATTTACAAAGCCCTTGCCGCGCCATGTTCACAATTAAATAACACCCCTAGTTGCCCCATCCACGAGTCCAATATTTGGGTAATATTTAGTATTAAGAAAGCGTGACACACAAAAACTTTTCTCCCAAATTTCAGCTCGTTAACTGCACGCCAAGTGCACTCCTGCCTGGGGCTATCAAGTTTGTTTTGTTTGTCTGAGGGGAAGGATAGTCTATTATGTGAACTCCAGCCCAGGTCACTTAGCAGAGGTCCTAGTGGAACAAAACTACATGAGTAACCATTCTTGGATAGTCCAAAATGATTTGAATTTAAGAAAACTGCTGTCTTTGATATGTCGAAGATCAAATACCCTTATGGACATAACGCTGAATGGCTTGAATGTGTGAGTGGAATAAATATTAAGAAATCTTGAGAAAAATAAAAAATGTGTTTAAGAACTTAACTTTCGAGCGATCAATTCATTGACAGCTTTATTGACAGAGTGATCCAGATGATTCCAGCGAATAAGGAGTATGATTTTTTCGTTTTCCATTAAAAATCTGACTCTAGACTCTGAGTTTATGTGCGATAGTAAGTGAGAAACTCTCTTTTTGGTAATATAATAAGCTTGGGCTTTATGTAATATACGAGCTTTTCTATACTCGATTTATGACCGAAAAATTGACAGAATGAATGCATTTCCTATAGTATAGAGCGTCGATCGCAAAACAAGCTTTTGTTTGCGAACAATGTAAATCACGTATCAGAGATATTCAAAAATGAATTTGGTGTCAATCGAAGCTTTAAAAATGGCTTTGAAGCAAATCGGAAAATAATTAAAACGTTACCAAAAAAATTGTTCCCGAGGATGCTTTGAATCTGCGAAAAATGTGAAACCGGTCCCAAATGATTTTTCGTATGGATCCTTGGATCCCACCAAATCTTTGACACCCAATTTCACCAAGAAGGGATGGATTTTCCAAAAAGTGCAAAACACCTCTCAAATAAATTTGATCAAGGATCTTTGAAAATGAGTTTGAGGCCGATCCGATGGTTAACAAAAATGTTTCATACCAACGTGTTTCGCTACTTAACCACTGTTGTGGGTGGAGTTTCCCAAATCGCTAAAACACGTATTCATTAAGTTCTTATATAAAGCTTTGCAAATAAGTTTGAAGCGAACTTCGCCTAAAAACTCTTTAATTTCTTTTCTTTGATCATTGAAAATGAAAATTGAGCGCGAAGCGTCATCCACCAAATCTTTGATCCCCAAGTGTGAAACAACAGTCAAATGAATTAAAACAAAAGTCTTTAAAATTGAGCTTAAGGTCGATCGGATGGTAAACAAATCAATTTCAGGACAAATAGTTTTATATATAGAGATGATGTAAGAATCACAAATTGGACACGTAAATTAGATGTTTGTTTTCAGTTCGTCTAAAAGTGTGCAAAGTTGAATTATAAGGTTTAAAGGTGAGCCAAACACGTTTAGTTAGGGTTGAGGGACATTCCTTTTAAGAACTTTCCCTGGTTGATCTAATTCAATCCGAAGTAAGAGCTCGTTGCGGCAAAATGGGCTACTTTTCGCTTTTATTTCTCGTCGGCGTTAGTAGCGTATGTTGCTCTGTTTTAATATCAATTTCACACACAAATTCAGCGCAATAATTTATAGATTTGCCTTACTGAGGGCCAGCAGTTGGACAACTCGACCGCATTAATGGCCAAGAATATAACCAAGCCACGCACAGCTCTCTTCGGGGCACTAGCGATGGAAACGAATTTCTTTGTAGGTTTCAAGAAAAACATGGAGCTGAGTAAAGCCGATATAGTCAAATGCGACGGACCTCTGGAAAAAGGCTTGAATATATTAATTCAAAAACTTGAAGAATTGATCATCTCCTGCGAAGCCATCATCAATTCATGTGTGGTTATCTGCGGCTTGTCAGCGATGGCCCAAGTTCCGATGATGCTTGTCAAAATAGTAGATGCTATGTTTTGTACGGCTAATTTGCCGCCCGTATCACCGTGCAGGAAAAAAGCTATTAACAATTTAAATGCTGAACTGAATAGATGCAAGGTTGATTTGACAAAACAATAATTAACTTTACTTCAAAGGATTGTAAAGTTTAGTAAATCGATTGGCAGTAAATATATTTTACAATCTGTTTTTATTGAGTTAGATGAAAAAACTCGTTTGTTTTTTAATACATCTTTTCCACACCAAGCGTCTTACGAATATTTTTACATATGACTGAAAGCTTATCATCATCGAAGCTCTATATCGTACAGCAAATGATTCTCACTATGTCTTAATATTCAATAGAACGGACATATGTCATATATATACATCTCTAAAACGAACCAAATCAATCCACAATTTCATGTCGCTCAAATAGGTCATAAATGGAGATTTTCATGAAAGCCTTTATTACAAAAATAGTTATTCAAGAAATGTATTGCTTTGAAATAAATTAAACACATTGTCATAACTTTTCTATAACTAAGTATTTTAAGTTAAGCTGTGCTTGAATGAGTTTTTGGATTTATAACATTAAAAAATCAGGCTGGAAATCATTAGATGGAAACGTGAAGCATACATTGTTTATCTAGTAAAGTGTTAGACTGCTGCAAAGACATAATAATAGATAAAATAGCTGAATCCCAAGCCGAAATCTTTAATTAAATATATAATCTTTTCAGACGCTGCAATCTTGTTTATTTATCAGCATAAATAATGGCTTACTAGGCCGCAGTTCTGGTTTCTTGTTAAAGTAGGGCAATGTTAACCAGGGTAGGGTTTCACAATTTCAACGATGATACGAAAGTGAAATAAAACGAGAAGGTAACCATACTGTCGGCCCGGAGAATATGAGAATAGCGAAGCTCATAAGCGCTGCGTTTGCGTTGTTTCTTAGTAGATTAAACAACGATCCAAAGGGCCAGACATTGCTAAAGCAGTTGGCCAGGATAATAGTTTAGTCTAATGGCAAGGTTGTTGAACATTGGCTTAGTTTGAAGAAACTAATCGACTTTAATTTAAATTAACTTAAGTACTAGAAAACTCCATGTTCTGATCAATTCAGACATCTCATAAATTTATTTTAACAAAATGTATATCTCTTAAGTCAGGGGAGAATTTTCTGTATTGTTGGGGGTTAAGTTTAAGCACAGTTCCAGAAAGGAAGTAAATCAACATATCACAGAGGTCCTGTGACCCAACAACGACCAGTTGACCTAACCCATTTTCAATGGAAACGAGGGAGGGAAAATACGTGTGTGTGTGTGTGTGTGTGTGTGTGTCTGTGTGTGTGGGCGTGTGTGTGGCTTTCGATAGCCCAATAGGGAATGCCAAAGAAATATACTTCAATAATTCATTTGAATCATGATAAATGTCCGGATTTCACTCTGACATTCGCAAAATATACTGAGGTCAGCTCAAACACACATACACACACATACGCACAAACACACAGACGGCAATCCTTTCGCACAGATTGGGATTCTGCTTACGTGTTGACTTGGCCAACAAACTGCTGGCCATAGCAGTGTGCTGTGGGCTTTCCTGTGGCGCTTCTGTTGAGCTTAATGTTGCATGTATGATATACTTACTACGGCCCGCTGGCATGGGAAACTGTTGCCAAGTATTCGGTGCTGATTCAGCTACACGTTTCGACCGGGGACCAGGGATAGGGGAAATAAACATCACCAGGAGCGTACAGTCAGACGACCTCCTGATCTCAGACTTTCAAATGATGCCATTTAAATAAAACAAATTTAGACAAATAAAAACAAACTCTGGTAAGCTTAAGCTGTTTGTAATATGAACATGAATAGAATGTAGCAATGTGTTGTCTTTAATCAGTTTCACCCTAAGCAGGAAAAGATAATAGAAAAAACTTTCGCTTCACCAGAGCTGTTTACCAATAGAAATAAGTTCTTCAGCAGTTGAAAGCCAGAAATGGTCAGCTAAGTAGCATCTAAATTCAATTAGAGTTGGAAGTTTCTTTTGTCAGTTTTCCCTATTTTTTGTTAGCAAAACCTTAAGACTATGTTGGGTCGCATCAAAGACTATTTTGCCATAGACTCATTAAATTTACTTTTCTTACTTTCTAATTAAACAGACCTAAATTCTCTAGAGGATGCTTGGCATATTATTTACACCAGGTTTGGGTCGCATCAAAGGCTGTTTCTAACTTCTTTTCTAGGTCTACATTATTTATATTTTTAACAAATTCTTCCCATTTCGCTACACACTCATTTAATTGATTTTGTTTGCTTTCCAGTTACCGTGAGGGTTTTTTTGCCGTGCTGAATTAATTTTTTCGACTTCTTATAAGATACCTTCCTATGCTTCCTCTTAACGAACGATCTGTGGACACGCTTGATTCAAATTTCAAGGTTATATAACTTATAGATTTGTCGACTTAAAACGACCTGTATCCAGATAGTAAAGATATTTGAGGTTTGGGACATTCATGTCAAGTCAATTTGAACCAAAGCCCAATAATACCAAAAATATCTTTAAATTAGTTTTTATAGTAAAATGTATAAAGTTTCAATTTATGAAATCGCCAATTTTCCAAGAGGCCCGGCCAAATATTCATACTTCAATTTAATAAAGATTATATTGGCAATACTTCAACCAATCTCTTCTTAGTTCAAATTTACGGATACCTTTTAGCTTAAGTTGAAAGCACTTTAGTTTTTAAGGCGATTGACTATTCTAATATCTATTTATACTATATAAAATTTCACGTGATGCGCATAAAATATTTCCCAATATAATTTCCTGTCATAAAAGTACTTTTTAAAATTTGTTGATCAGTTAAATTTGTTTGTTTGGTTTATTTAACAAATAGTAAGTTTATACATACTGCAAGGTCTCTCATTCAGGTAACTGCGAGGGACAACATATCCAAGATTAATTAATTAATATTTTTATTTGATATATATACTTTATTCATATTCTTGATCAGCATCAACAGCCGAGTCGATATAGCCATGTTGGTCTGTCCGTCTGTCAGTCTGTCTGTTGCTATGCGAAGTAGTCCCTCACTTTTTGATGAAACTTTGCAGAAGTCCCTCTCTCTGTTGCATGCAGTAAATATATCAAAACCAGCTGGATCGGACCACTATATCATATATCTGCCATAGGAACGATCGGTCGAAAACTAGGTTTTTGATTAAAAACCTTTTTTTTTTTATCAAGATATCTTGACCAAGCTCGGCAATAACTATTTTCCCGGTGCTTCTTAGATACGGGCAAAGCACTATAAGCATTATGAAAAGGTTGGGTCTGCAAGGGTATTAGATCATCGGCGTGCCGAAGATAGCCTTTCTTTCTCGTTTTAATGAGTTTTTGAGTCCGCGGTTTCTATAAAGATTGGTGGTTTGGGTTCTCTTGTATCGACTATTAACCCAAATATTAATATCTATTTCAACTTTATTGTATTTATCATGACCGATAATCCACGATTAATTCTAGTTTGGGATTCGGTACAATTTCCATCTTATTTCAAAACAGTTATCAAACAGGTAAGAGGTACAATATCTCCATTACTAACCAAAATATTTTGGATACAATTTTTATTATAGGTGGCAAATACGATATTTTTAAGGTTTGAAGTAGTTTTAGGTTCGGTTAAATTTTAAAAATGTTCATCGCCACTGTAGATTTAGTTAGAGTGTTGTGGAATCTTCAGTTGTGTATCCGACTCCTAAGGTGAAAAAGAAATTGAATAATATAGCGAATTCTTTCATGTACAACTTTCAATAAAACTTATTAAACTTGCTCTACATGCAAGTGCTCGACTTGGAGTTACCCTGACCGCATTGTCAAGCTGGCGACAAAAACACTCGCAGTACTTAGCTGCACTTTAGGAATTGCATTCTTGAATAACTTCGTAGCTTAATGTCAGATCTTTAAAAATGTTTGTCGGATATCAATATATATATTCAAATATATACTATATACATCAACTAGACTATGGGGCGACCAAAGTTGAATATTTTGGATCATATCACATCATCGACATTCTAAATTTGACGTCTCTAGGCAAAAGGCTATGAGATATCATCTCAGATATCATTTCTTCTGCATTTATATCCTTTTACACATTTGCAAAGGGCATACTAGTTTATAGATAGTACAAACCTTTCGTATTTTGTTTTCTTCTTTTTTTTTTACCTTCATAGTTTTTTTTTTTTCGTCGGGCTGGGTTTCTTTGTTGGTTTTGTCAGTTTTGGTTTCGTTGACGTCGGCTTGGGTCGTTATGGTTTGGGTGTGGATCGTTTCGACCGCGGCCGTGGCCGTGGCCTTGGCTTTGGTCTTGGCTTTGGCTTTGGCATTGGCCTTCGACTGGGTTTTCGCGATGGCTTTGGCTTAGGTCTAATAAAATTCAAAATCCTATGCCAAATTTTTTTTAAAAATCCTAAAAATCGACGTTGATTATTTTGTAAAGCATCCTCGTTCTCGTATGAATCGTTGAGCTCGAGTTCTGCAATCTGTTTGTCTTCTAGTGAATTAAGGCTTTCCCCATTATTGTAGCCTTCGGCTGTAAAAATGTTCGTTACAATTGCAAGTAGTAATATTCCAAATATAACTTTCATTTCTACAAGTGTTTTAAACTAACACGGAAAAACTTGTGCCAAAAGGTTTTATAATGCCAGAAACTGCAGTAATTGGACGTGGCTAAATTCGAATTAGATATGGCCATATGGGCATCATGCTCCCTAGTTAAACAAACATTTCATGAGACGACAATAAATTGTATAATAAGTTTTTATTATACAAATTATTTCTCTGATATCCTGTACGCAAATGAGTCAAAAAGGGTATATTGATTTTATGTAACAGGAGGCATGTCCTACCCCATAAAGTCGATATGGCTATGTTAATCTGTCTGTATTGTGAACGTAGGTCCACTAAGTACCCGTGCTGTACGATTTTGTGTCGACTCCAGAATTTGGACTTTTGTTGAGTAGGTCGGAAACTCCCCACTCTTACTTGCCTTTGCCTCAATTATATACTAAGAAGTCAACTTTTGTGGCTGGCTCCATACTTAGCTCCATAATTAGCTTTACGTGATCAGCATACGTAACTGTGAAATCTTGATTAAAATGTTTTTAAATGATAAATATTATTATATGATATATAAATAATTGCCGGATATAACCCGGCCTTGCCCGTGGCACGTATAAGCTAAAATACCTCAAAAAGCTTTAAAGAGGATTTGACACTGATCGGACGGTAAACAAACAACTCTCATACAAAGGTTTTCCGCCAATTTACCACTGTTGTGGGTGGAATTATCCAAATTGCTGAAACACGTATTTATTAAGTTTTTATATAGAGCTTTCAAAATAAGTTTGAAGCGAATCGAACAAAACTGCAAACTTAGCCCAACCAAGCTTTGAAAAGCACTTCTACCGAGTCTTGGATTCTGCGAAAAGCGTCTTTAGTATTAGAGTATGCCTCATGTATCTGGTCACACCAATACTCTATTCATCGAGAAATAATTGAATTTGTACAGATACAATTCTTGTTGTTTGCCATTCGTGGTTTAAATTGGGATTCTCGTTTGCGGCTACAGTCATACTCCAGTAGACTTCTGATGATTGATTTTCCTCCATTAATCAATCGTACAACCATGCTTGGCGTTATATAATCTCCGCGAGTTTTACAAATTGTCGTGAATTGTGTAACGCATTGAAGGAGACATCTCCGACCCTAAAAATTCTTGATCAGTATCAACAGCCGAGTCGATATAGCCATGTCCGTCTGTCTCTTTCTCTGCGAACAAGTCTCTCAATTTTAAGGCTATCTTAATGAAACATTGCAGAAGTCTCTCTTTCTGTTGCATGCAGTAAATATGCCGGAACCAGCTGGATCGGACCACTCTATCATATAGCTGCCATAAGAACGATTGGTCGAAAAGTAGGTTCTGGTATGAAAATCCGCTCGTTTTTGTATGAACATTTTTTTGTTGTTCAAGATATTTTGACCGAACTCAGCACTTATTAGTTTTTCCATGCTCCTGATACAAATGCAAAATTCTATCAACATCGGGCCCCTATATCAGGTATCTGAACGATTCGAAAATTAAGTAGTTGTAAGAAAAACATTTTTGTTTATCAAGATATTTTGATCAAACACGGCTCTTAGAGATTTCACTATATTCCTTTTATTTTTGTAAAATCTTGTTTAAATCGGACTGCTATATCATATAGCTACCATAGAAACGATCAGTCAAAAAGTAGGTTCTTGAATAAAAAACTTTTTGTTTTTCAAGAAATCTTGACCAAACGCGGCATAAATTAATTTCCCTGTGCTTCTTAGATACGGGCAAAGCACTATGAGCATTATGAAAATGTTGAGTCTGCAAGGGTATTAAATCTTCGGCGTGTCGTCACCCATTGAGATTGTTTGGAATTTTTTCGAATATATGAACGAATATCAATACAATTATTGTAGCTCTAATATTTTAACTATTGTAGTTTTATTTTCCCTGCATTTTTTTTATGACTTTATCATTATACTCTGGTAGAGGTTAGAATAGTTTTGTCATGTAAATACAACTCATAGATGGAGACTTCTTTATCCGCCCAAAAGTATATTGGGCATTATTAAATGATATGTCTGTCTGCTTATTTTTCTGATTGTTTGACTGCATGTTCATCTGTCTTTTTGTTCTTCGGTCTGTCTCTATTCTATTCCGAGTCGATCTAGACATACGTCCATCCATCTGCCCATCCGCATGTATATATGAGCACAAGAGTCTCAGAACCTATAAGAGCTAGAAACTTGAAATTTGGATGTAGGTCCTTCTTGTGTCCAGTGCGAGTTTATCTCCGATAATCGATAACTTGCCCCGCTTCCAAGTAATCGATCAACATCGATATCGCAATCGTGGTTTTGAGCAAATCTCTAAGGTTTTTAGAGCTCGGGAACCCCCGACTAGAGCCTCTTACTTTGTAATTATTTTGTAATAAAAGATGCGTCAGTGGGTAGTTGGCACATGCCTTACAACAGTTATATTTATAAAGAACAACAACAACAACACTTTTAAGTCCTTTGGTGTAGTGTGCAAACAGGTTCAGATTCTCGAGAGAAACATTGCAGGACGTCGGGCGCAAAAGAAACACAGGCGCCAGTGCCAGACACTATCTTCTAGTTGCTGATAACAATCCCAAGCCCTCCAACATTGCAAAATACCAAGCCCGCCTGCATCATCTTCAGGCTAGACAAAGGTAGTTGCCAGGAAGAACCTGTGATAAAACCATCTCCTTATGGTATCTGGGCGTTCCCCTGGAGTTCTTAAGCTCGACTAGCTACTAAAATTCTGGAATAAACTCCTGACACCAGCTTCATCGAATAAGAAAACTTCAAGCTAAGATAGTCTGCAAAATGGTTGGCCTCCGCCTTGTAAATAACGGAGGTCAGATCAACTTCATCAGCAGCCGCTAAGCCGACAAGCTGCTGCGTAATCCGAATACGGACACATAGAGGCGTATCCAAAGGGTACACCTCTGCGACCAATCAACGAGGCGAATTTTGTAAACTTACAACATTTTCGAAGTCAATTCGCCTGGTAGAGATCACAAAATACTAATCGATTCCAGCGCACAATAAAACCCATTAAAAATGGGTATAAGGGTATATTGTATTTGTGTGAAAGCCAAATGTATGTAACAGGCAGAAGGAAGCATCTCCGACCCCATAAAGTGTATATATTCTTGATCAGCATAAATAGCCGAGTCGATCTAGCCATGTCCGTCTGTCTGTCCGTCCGTCCGTATGTATGAAAGCAAGGATCTCAGAACCTATAAGAGCTTTAGATGTAGGTGCTCCAAGTGCCTGCGCAGATCGAGTTTGTTTCCGATAATCGATAACTTACTCCGTTTCCAAGCAATCGATAAAAATCGATATCGATATCCTGTTTTTTGGCCAATTTTGGTAAATAATAAGAGCTAAATTCACCAAACTTGACATATAGCTTCTAAAATAGAATATATATATGCATTTGATGTTGAAAGAAGAGGGTTCAGGGTATCCCCTAATCGGGAGCTCCCGACTATAACTTCTTACTGGTTTTACCCTGAACTCATTGAAAATGGGTAGAAAGGGTATAATGTGTTTATGCAAATGTATGTAACAGACAGAAGGAAGTATCTCCGACCACAAAAAGTATATATATTCTTGATCAGCATCAATAGCCGAGTCGATCTAGCCATGTCCGTCTGGTTGTCCGTCCGTCTCTCCGTCTGTCCGTATGTGTGAACGCAAGGCTCTCAGAACCTATAAGAGACTTGATTTTTAGCTCTTTCCGGTGATTGATAACTTACTTCGTTTCCAAGCAATTGATAAAAATCGATATAAAAATCTTGTTTTTTGATCAAATTGGGTAAATAATAAGAGTTAGAGTCACCAAAAGTGAGATGCTTATTCTAGAATAGTATATATATATCAAGTATCTTTCATTTTATACCTACTCTACCACCCCTCTACTACTTCATAGTTAAAAATCAAGTTAATAACCCAACTTGTGTTACCCACCAATTTAAGCTAGAATTTTAATACAATTTACTCTTTGAGAATACACAAATATTATATGGTACAATAAGATATACTGTAGAAAATTTCATCAAGATCGGTTAAGAAACACATACAAATTATGTGTGCTTACTGCCCACTTGCTTGCGGCAGCTAGCGCAAATTCCAAGAATTTCTGTGCACATGAACTTACACACATTCATGCGCGTCTATTTCGAACTCTATCAACTGCATTGCACTTGCGTTTGCATTGTTTTCTGTTCTGCCATTTTAATTGGTTTTTTTCTCAATTAGACCTAATCATTGGTGTGGCTGTTGAATAGAGGAGGTGGCAAGTAATGCGGTCAGTTGCAAGTGCGAACCCTGCTAAGGTAACTTGTTTTTATTTATCTTTATTACTATAAACGAGCGCGTAGCGCGAGCTGCATTTGGTGTTGGAATAAGAGGGTTCAGGGTATTCACTAGTCAGGAGCTCCCGACAAGAACCTCTTACTTGTTTAAAATCCGAAACTTGCAGCCAGTATTTTTTTCGTCTAAATGGCTATGTATCTTCTTTAGAATTCGAATCATTTTCGTCTGTAGCCATCGCATCAATTTCTTCTGTAGCCATCGAATCAATTTCTTCTGTAGCCATCGAATCGATTTCTTCTGTATAATAAGAATCTGACGTCGCCTCAGGAGATTCAGGTTCAGTGGATGTTGTCGAATATACAGGTGCGTTTATATCTACGAATATTTCGCCCATCAATGTCAAAGAACTATAAGGGGCAAACAAATGAAACATATAAAAAATGTTTATATACATATATCTTGAAATAGAAAATGTGTTAAAATGCCCTTCTTGTGAGATGCCGACTAGTTAGTTACAGAACATCCGAAATTTCTTCTATACCGCAAGATGTGTATCCGATCTTTAAAAAAATGTTACGGCTTAAGTATATATATAAAACTTGAATATTCTAGATCATATCATCATCATCAACCTTCTAAACTTGATGTCTCTAGTTCTCGAAGGCTACGTGATTTGGTCAAATATTATATTGTAGGTTTGGTCCTACAATACTGGCTGGCATTTGATAGATATATGTACAAACCTATCGAGTTGCGTTTTCTTCTTCGTTGGTTTTATCGGTTTTGCTTTCGTTGGCCTCGGCCTGGATGGTGGAGGTCTGGATGTCGGTGGCCTAGGCCTTGGCTTTGGTCGTGGCTTTGGGCGTGGCCTTGGCTTTGGGTGTGGCCTTGGCCTTGGCCTTGGTCGTGGCCTTGGTCGTGGCCTTGGGCGTGGCCTTGGGCGTGGCCTTGGGCGTGGCCTTGGTCGTGGCCTTGGTCTTCGATGGGGCTTCGGCCGTGGAAAGAGCTTTGGCTTGGGTCTTATCAATTTCAAAATTTTTCTCCAAATTTCACTTAAAATTCCAAAAAGCCGATGTTGCTCATTGCGCAAAGAATACTTATTCTGTATTGGACCATTGCTACTTTCAATTATGTGTTGCTCGGCTGGATCCGCAGGTTGGCGTTGAACAAGCTGATTGTGTCCATGAAGACGAATCGGATGATGCTCTTGGTGGGCATCTAGCGAATTAGGACTTTTCACTTTAGTTTTGTGCCCCTCGGCTGTGAAAACGTTCGTTATAATTATAATGAGTAATATTTCAAAAAGGACTTTCATTTCTAGAAGTAATTTATACTAGCATGGAACACTTCTGCATAAACGTTTTAAAGGCCAGAACTGGAGTAATTGGACGTGGCTTAATTCGAATTAGATATGGCCAAATGGGCATCACGCTCCCTAGTTAAAAAATAAACATTTCTAAAAGTCTAGGGTACTGCTACTGCTTCTTTCCTCAATAATATACTAAGAAGTCGACTTCTGTTGATGGTTCCAAACATATGCTAATTAGCTATACATAATCAGCTTACATAGCCGTGAAAACTGTTTATCCTAACTGATTGACTGATTGGTGAATAACACACAGCCCAAAACGTCAGATCTGGAAAGCTGAAATTTTCATTGTAATGTGCTTATGTGATAAAGGTTCACGTTAAGACGGGGTTTCGGGAAATTCTACCCTCATTTATTAAAAAATCGCGAAAAACGTTTGTATAAAATTGTTTTGTTTACGATCAGACTCAAATTCATTTTCAAACATTTATAAAATCTCACATTTTGGAAAATCCATTCCTCCTTGGTGGAAATGAGGGTCAAAGATATGGTGGGTGACGTTTGGCGCATATATTCATATCCAAGGATCTAAATGAAAAATTATTTGAGACATGTTTCACATTTTCTCGGTGGAAAGCGCGATTCAAATGTTTTTGATGACGTTTTAAGTTGTGTACGAACTGTTTCATAATTATTTTCAACGCTCTACACAAGAACTTATTTAATACTTGTTCCAGCTATTTGGGAAATTACAACAGGGGTTAATTGGGGATAAACTTTTGTATAAAAGTTATTTTTTACCATCCGATAAGTTTCAAAATCATTTTCAAAGGTTTTTGAGAAAATTTATTATGTATTTTCCGCAGGCAAGGAGTGTTATAACCGCTAGTAGATATACATTATGTAACTCATAGAAGGAAACATTTCTGAACGCCCAAAGTATATTGGGTAATAAAAAAAGCAGAGTTGATGAGTCGTTTTTGTCAGCCTGTCTGTCTGTAAAACTGTATGATCGTCTGTCTATATGTGCTTTGATCTGTCTCCAGTCTTGGTATAGTCCCTCAGTGTAAAAGCTATTCTTATGAAAATTAGAAGAATAGTTCTCGTATAAGAGCCATATCTTATGAACATTCTCTAATCATCTTCTACATCTACATATCTCTATTACGCAGTCATACAATTTTATACGAGAGTATTTTATCTTCGGAATGCCGTAGATAGTCTTACTGGCATGTTCGCTCCCGACCAGCAATCCTTTGACAGAGTCCTGCGCGATTGCCAGCCCTGCGTCCACAGAGCTCTCTCCTCATGTCGTAGAAAGAGCCTGTGTTATGTGGCAATGGCAATCACTCGCTTCTAGTTGCTGACAACAATCCCAACTCAGTCCTCGAGTTCAGGTTGGATCAACTGTTCGGCAGATTGGACAACTTATATAATGACCACAATAAGGGTAGCTTTGTGGGAAGCCAACGGTGTATTCTCCAAGGCGAATGAAGTCTTTGCGCTCATTCTTGTGTCTTCTTACGGATACCCACTTTTACTCTTGTATCACCCTTAGAGTACCAGGCTAGTAGAGACCAGAAGGTAGTACGGTAGAAGAATGTACAATGAATAAAATTTCAATTTTTGGTAACGTACCTTTTCAAATATTGAAAATAAGTTTTATTTATGCGAAGGTTGTCTGGTTCGCATTGCAGCACCTCCCAGAAAGGTAGCTTCTCTGCACAACATATCCATGATTTACTCTTGCTTAGGATTCGGCAAGCTATTAATGTTATTCTTAAACAGGTAACAAACAGTTAACAGGTACATGCTCTCCATGTTCATCCAAAATATTTTAGCTACGATATTTATTATAGGTGGCAAACATGATATTTTGAAGGTTTGAAAATCACACAATTTTTCTTATATGTTAGTTTTGCTTTATTTAAAACAAATGGGGTTATCTCTCATATTTTCCCGGATGTATTTTTAGGTTCGACTCAATTCCATACATTTATTGTTTATAATTGGCCAAGACTTAAACCATGTAATTTTTTTTGGCCGAACTACGTTATTCTGGATATGAATTTGATATCGAATCATCTTCATATGATTCTTCGGGCCAAAAAGGTTCACTATCCAATTTTAAAGAAAGAAGAGAAGAGGGCAAACAAATTGAGCATATAGAAATTCAAACATGCATACATCTTTCAATAGAAAAAAGAAAGAAAGGCTATCTTCGGCACGCCGAAGATTTAATACACTTGCAGACAGCATCTTTCCTAATGCTTACAATGCCTGCATGTGTATCTGAGTATGGTTAAGATAACTTGAAAAACAAAGAGTGTTTTATACAAGAACCACATTTTCAACCCATCGTTCCTATGGGAGCTATATGATATAGTGGTCAGATCCAGCCTGTTCTGACATATGTACTGTGTTAAGCAGAAAGAGGGATGTAAGCAGATTCATGACGATAGGCTTCCCTTAGCTCCACACTTTGATAATTGCATTCTTGAATAACTTTAGAACATAGTTTCCGATTTTTAAAACATTTCAAATGCCTAAATATGGTGAGCATATATTCCCCCCCCCAGTCATAATGCGGATAAAAAAAATATACATTATTGGGTCTGATATGCTTCCTTCTGCATTGATAGCCTTATACATATTTTTAAGGGGCTTGGTTATATGTATATGTACAAACCTTCTGACTGTTGTCGTTGTTGGTGGTCTTCTCGTGGGCACTGGCCTGGGTGGTGTGGGGTTCGGCCTTGGGGGTGGTCTGGGTATAAACAAATTCACAACTGTTTTAACTGCAGAGCTAACTACCTTCGTAACTTTTTTCGTAGTTTTTACAATCCATTTCCATAAACTACGTTGGTTATTTTGCAAAGCAGCCTCATTTTGAATTCGACCATTCCTTCTTTTAAATGTATGTTGCTCGGATAATCTCTTGCGTTGTACAAGCTGATTGTGTCCCTGATGGTCATCTAGTGAATTACGACTTTTCACTCTATTTCTGTGCCTTTCGGCTGTGAAAACGTTTATTACAATTACAAAGAGTAATATTTCAAAAGGAACTTTCATTTCTAGAAGTCTTTTAAAGTAACACGAAAAAACGTCGGTAACAACGTTTTTATAAGGCCAGAAACTGGTATAATTGGACGTGGCTTAATTCGAATTAGATATGGCCATATGGCCATCACGCTCCCTAGTTAATGAACTATTTTTGAATGATTTCATGAAAGGAAAATAAATTATATAATTTTGTCGTCAGATGTGTAACGCATAGAAGGAGGCATCTCCGATCCCATAAAGTATATATATTCTTGATCACCATTAACAGCCGATATAGTCGATATAGCCATGTCCGTCTGTCCGTCTGACTGTTTGTCCGTCTGACCGTCTGTCTGTTTCTATGCGAACTAGTCTCTCAGTTTTATCTTAATAAACTTTGTTGAGATCCCTCTTTCTGTTGCACGCAGCAGATATGTCAAGACCATCTGGATCGGACCACAATATCATATAGCTGCCATAGGAACGACCGGTCGAAAATTAAGTTGTTATATGAAAAAACCTTTTGTTTTTCAAGATATCTTGACCAAACTCGGCATTTATTAGTTTGACTATACTCCTCATATATATGCAAAATCCTATTAAGATCGGACCACTATATCATATAGCTGCCATAGGAAAATATCGGTCGAAAATTAAGTTGTTGTATGGAAAACTTTTTTGCCATTCAAGATATCTTGATTAAACACGGCATTTAAAGATTTCACTATGTTTCATTTTGGCAAAATCGTATTTACATCGGAACACTATATCATATGACTGCCATAGGAACGATCGGTCGAAAACTAGGTTTTTGATTAAAAACCTTTTTTGTTTATCAAGATATCTTGCCCAAACTCGTCATTAACTATTTTCCCTGTGCTTCTTATGAACAGGTTGGGTTTTTTCTTTATTTTGTATTAATTTAATGGTAATTAACAGGAGGTATGTCCGCCCAAATACAAATAGTACATATACTCTTGATCTGGACAACGTGCCGAGTGGATATGGACCTGTCTGTCTGTCAGTCTTTTGAAAGTACGAGTTTGTTTCAAATCATCAGTAAATTACCTCGTTTCTATGAAATCGAAAAAATTCAAGAATTTTGGCTTTTTAGGTAAGTTGGAAACACCCGACTAGGGGTTTACTTCTTACTTCTTTTTCCTCAGTTACTACGAAGAAGACTTCTTATGCCGGTTCTATACATTTGCTAATTAGCTAAACATAATTAGCTTAAATAAATGTGAAATCTTGATTAAAATTAGTTAGGGAGATTAATATTCAGTACATGTAGCTTCATGAAAGTCGATTCTAAATGTTGTTCGTAAAACTCTTGTATTGTTAATATAATGTGCTGAGTGTAGCGCCAGACCAGAATCAAGTCTCAAATTTAGAGTTAACTTCGCGTTTATTGTGAAATTTATAAAAAGTATATATACTTTTCATATAATTTCATGCATTTTATTGTGGCTGTAAGCTTGATTTCATATATGACGATAGACTAAAGTAATATTCGGTACGCCGAAGATTTAATACTCTTGCAGACATTTGCCTCATGTGAGAATACTACCGGGTATAGCCCGGCATTGCCCGTGGCATGTATAAAATAAATGTTAAAAAGCCTTCAACATGATTTTGAAACTGATCGGACGGTAAATAAACAACTTACATACAAACGTTTTCGTCAATTTATGGGTTGCGGGTGGAATTTCCCAAATCGTTTAAGCACGTATTCATTAAGTTTTTATGTAGAGCTTTGAAAATAATTTTGAAGCAAATCAGAAATAAATTAAAGCGTCACCAAAAACATCTTTGAATTGCACTTTTCACACAGGATGATTAAATCCTGCGAAAAATGTGAAACAGGTCCCAAATGATTTTTCTTATGGATACCTAGAAATGAATTTAAGCGCGAAGCGTCATCCACCAAATCTTTGACCTCCATTTTCACCAAGGCATATGTGTGAAATACCCCTCAAATGAATTTGAACAAAAAACTTTGAAACGATCGGCCTCAAGATCGGATGGTAAACAAAAAGTTTCATACAAACGTTGTTCGCGATTTTTCCATACTTGCTGGTGAAATTTTGCGAAACCCCGTCTTAACGTGCACCTGCATCACATAAGGTGACTACAGTGAAAATTTCAGCTTCCTCGCTCTTACGGGTTGGACTGTGCGTTGATCATCAATCAGTCAGTCAATAAGTCAGTCAGTCAGTCAGTCAGTCAGAACAAAAAGTTTTATATATGGAGATCGCAGCTCGTAAATGATGACTTTGATTAAAATGTCTCGCGAAACAGAATTTGTTGCCACACAAAAACTTAATTTTCGACAGATCTTTCCTAATGCAGCTATATGATATAGTGGTCCGACGCATGTACTGCGTGCAACAGAAAGAGGGGCATATGCAAAGTCTCATGGCGATTGCCTTAAAATTGAGGAGAAGTTCGCATAGAAACAGATAGACGGACATGGATATATCTGCTCGGCTGTTGATACTAATCTAGAATATATATACTTTATGGGGTCGGAGATGCTTCTTCTGCCTGTTACATACATTTGGATTTTGCACAAATACAATATACCCTTATACCCATTTTTAATGGGTTCAGGGTATAAAAAGCACAGAAACCAATACAATCGCAATTGCAATGCTGTTTATGAATTCGAAGCAGACGTGCATGAATGTGTGTATACATGAATACAGAAATTTTTCGAATGTGCGCTGGTGCCGCAAACCATGTTTCTTAACCGATATTCATGGAATTTTCTACAGTATATCCTATTGTACCATAGAATATTTGTGTGTTCTCAAAAAGTTAATTGCACTAAAATTGTAGCTTAAAGTGGTGGGCAATACAAGTTGGGTAATTAACTGCTGTCGATACAAAAAGCTTTGAAGCGGCCCAACCGGATGGTGGAGGTCTGGATGTCGGTGGTCTTGGCCTTGGCCAAATTACGATAAGTTTCAAAATCATTTTCAAAGGTTTGTGAGAAAATGTATTTTGTATTTTCCGCAGGCAAGGAGGGTTATAACCGCTAGTAGATATACATTATGTAACTCATAGAAGGAATCATTTCTGAACGCCCAAAGTATATTGGGTAATAAAAAAAGCAGAGTTGATGAGTCGTTTTTGTCAGCCTGTCTGTCTGTAAAACTGTATGATCGTCTGTCTATATGTGCTTTGATCTGTCTCCAGTCTTGGTATAGTCCCTCAGTGTAAAAGCTATTCTTATGAAAATTAGAATAGTTCTCGTATAAGAGCCATATCTTATGAACATTCTCTAATCATCTTCTACATCTACATATCTCTATTACGCAGTCATACAACTTTATACGAGGGTATTTTATCTTCGGAATGCCGTATATAGTCTTACTGGCATGTTCGCTCCCGACCAGCAATCCTTTGACAGAGTCCTGCGCGATTGCCAGCCCTGCGTCCACAGAGCTCTCTCCTCATGTCGTAGAAAGAGCCTGTGTTATGTGGCAATGGCAATCACTCGCTTCTAGTTGCTGACAACAATCCCAACTCAGTCCTCGAGTTCAGGTTGGATCAACTGTTCGGCAGATTGGACAACTTATATAATGACCACAATAAGGGTAGCTTTGTGGGAAGCCAACGGTGTATTCTCCAAGGCGAATGAAGTCTTTGCGCTCATTCTTGTGTCTTCTTACGGATACCCACTTTTACTCTTGTATCACCCTTAGAGTACCAGGCTAGTAGAGACCAGAAGGTAGTACGGTAGAAGAATGTACAATGAATAAAATTTCAATTTTTGGTAACGTACCTTTTCAAATATTGAAAATAAGTTTTATTTATGCGAAGGTTGTCTGGTTCGCATTGCAGCACCTCCCAGAAAGGTAGCTTCTCTGCACAACATATCCATGATTTACTCTTGCTTAGGATTCGGCAAGCTATTAATGTTATTCTTAAACAGGTAATAAACAGTTAACAGGTACATGCTCTCCATGTTCATCCAAAATATTTTAGCTACGATATTTATTATAGGTGGCAAACATGATATTTTGAAGGTTTGAAAATCACACAATTTTTCTTATATGTTAGTCTTGCTTTATTTTAAACAAATGGGGTTATCTCTCATCTTTTCCCGTATGTATTTTTTGGTTCGACTCAATTTCATACATTTATTGCTTATAATTTGCCAAGGCTTAAACCATGTAATTTTTTTTGGCCGAACTACGTTATTCTGGATATGAATTTGATATCGAATCATCTTCATATGATTCTTCGTCCCAAATAGGTTCACTATCCAATTTTAAAGAAAAAAGAGAAGAGGGCAAACAAATTGAGCATATAGAAATTCAAACATGCATACATCTTTCAATAGAAAAGAGAAAGAAAGGCTATCTTCGGCACGCCGAAGATTTAATACACTTGCGGACAGCACCTTTCCTAATGCTTACAATGCCTGCATGTGTATCTGAGTATGGTTAAGATATCTTGAAAAACAAAAAGTGTTTTATACAAGAACCACATTTTCAACCCGTCGTTCCTATGGAAGCTATATGATATAGTGGTCAGATCCAGCCTGTTCTGACATATGTACTGTGTTAAGCAGAAAGAGGGATGTAAGCAGATTCATGACGATAGGCTTCCCTTAGCTACACACTTTGATAATTGCATTCTTGAATAACTTTAGAACATAGTTTCCGATTTTTAAAACATTTCAAATGCCTAAATATGGTGAGCATATATACCCAAGGCTTAGACAATGGGGCGATTATGTCCCCAGTCATAATGCGGATCAAAAAAATATACATTATTGGGTCGGATATGCTTCCTTCTGCATTGATAGCCTTATACATATTTTAAGGGGCTTGGTTATATGTATATGTACAAACCTTCTGATTGTTGTCGTTGTTGGTGGTCTTCTCGTTGGCACTGGCCTGGGTGGTGTGGGGTTGGGCTTTGGGCGTTTGGGCCTTGGTTTGGGTTTAAACCAACTCACAACTTTTTTAACTACTTTCTTAGCTGATTTTGCAATCAATTTCCAAATACTTCGTTGGTTATTTTGCAAAGCAGCCTTAT